CCCCCGCCCGCGCCCCCGCCGGGGGGGAGGGGCGCGCGGAGTGGGACTCTTTCCGTTTGGTCCAGCCCCGCCGTGCACGCAGTTCCCAACACTTCTCGTCATCCTCTCTTTGGTCTCTTTATTCTGCTGAGCGGTGCTGTTAGGATTTCTTTTTTTCCCCCTGACCGCGCTCGCGATGGTGGGTAGCAGCAAGGTGGCCCCGGCAGGGGAGGGGTGGATGTCGAGATTTGGGCACCCGGGGAAGAATGTCTCCTTTCAACTTTGTCGGTGGCTCGCACCCCCGGAGAAGGCCACACGCCGGTGGTGGGGTGCAGCTGTGCCGAGAGTGATTTCTAAGTAGTTGAGTTGTGGCGATCAGGGGATGACTGCTGATGGTAGGCAGGTTTTGTTTTCATTGATGAATCTGGTGTCATCATATTCCGGTCATCTGTGGAAATATTCTTTGTTTAGGTCTTGAAGTGGAGGGTCTCACTCTGCACGTCCACATTGTGTCGTTTTTAAATGATGTCTTTGCATGGATGGCTCTCCAGAATCTCAGATGGGAGTGAAGGTCCGGGCCTGTGTGGGCCTCGGCACTGGCCTTGACAGTGAACTTTGTGGCTGTGTTTTGGATTTCAAAGATTTGCCCCATCGCCGGGGAGCGAGCTGTTTCATTTTTTAATAGTAGGTGTTAGGAATGTGGATGCTTTAGCTGGGGACTTTAGAGAAGGAAGAGCATTTGTATATTAATAATTGATAGCTGAATATTAGAATCAGATTAATTTGGACTGGTGAAAGTTTTTTTTTTTAAAGCAGTGTGTGCACTCTAGGAAGGAAGCCTTTTCACAGGCACACTTTATAGGGGTTCTTTAGGGCAGAGAGCCGGAATATCTCCTTTTATAGAGGATTCTCATCAACATCTGCAGTTTCATTGAGGGCCTGGTAAAGAAACTGAAATTGGGGCTTAGACCTAAGTGTACTTTTTAGTGTTTATGTTGTTTGTTTACATTTGGTATTCACTCATGTTTGGGCAGTAGACATAAATAGGTCAGCTTTTCGTTTGGTTTTGAAGACTAGCCCCTTCCCCCCACCCTCACCCCCCCCTTTTTTTTTTAAAGTTTCACAATTTACTTGGTTTCACGGTTTTGTAGGAAACTGTTACTCCATTTTTATTGGAAATACTATTTTCATTTTCATTTTGGTAAGTGCCTGCCTATTCTCTCTTTCTGTCTCCACTTGTATATGGGGTCTACATCATGGGCTTAATTAAAATGAGCTATAGGGGCTATTTAAAATGAAGAATGAATTTTAAAATCTCAGGAATAGCTTTTGATGGCAAAGAGGATGTTTTTATGTGTAGTTCCTCATGTTTGTAAAAAAATATGTCTGTACTTAAAACTTCTGTAGTGGTACAACTATCCTCAAGTGAAGAGCATAGTAGTAGTGCAGAAAATTCTCAAAACACAAACTTCTGGCTAACATGTTAAAAATATTCCAGGTGCTTTTCTTTATGTCAGACTTTTGCTTTTGTTAATATAATAGTATTTCCAATATGACTGGCATTGCTTGCCTGGCCATAATAGTCTTTTGCTTGAGTGCTTTTGATGGGTTTTAAATAGTTTTTAGGTAATTTTACAAGCTTTCTTTAAGCATTTTGCACGTTGGACTTAGGCAGGTCTTTATGGATCTGGAATCGTAATAGGTTAAAGAGACTTATACCCTATGCCAGATTTTATTTTTAAGAGTTAAAGTGATGGATGGGGCCCTATTTCTTTTAGTTTTGAAGGGTCCATCCTTTTTCCTATTCAATCTTCTGGAAGGAGTTGCCTCAGATATATTCTTCTCCTGCTTACATGAAGAGCTCTAAATGCTATCCAGCAGGAGGTGCTACAGCAAGATAAAGCAACTCTGAATTTTGAGGGTCTTGGTACTTATTATAGCTCTTCGTAGCTTCAACTAAGCAACAGGATTAACACCCTAAAGTTCCAGAAAGATTTTGAGTAAGTTCACTAAAAAAAAAAATTCCATTAATAAATTACATATGCTATTTAAAACTGAACTCTTTGACTGCTTTTTACTTGCTTACGATATTACACAAAGTAGACTTATTGTGGATATCTTAAGGATGCTGCGCCTAGTTACAGAATGCTGTTGGAATTATTTTGAAGAGGAATTAGTCTTGTATTATGTACAATGGCTATAAACAAAAGTAGTTGGTATGAATTGGGACATTTTGTGATCATCCTTATAATATTAATACAAGTAGTACCTGAGATTTTGCAAGAGTTACTTGAGATTTTGGAAAGGGAGATACTGTATGGAGAAAATTTTATACTTTCTGTGTTTATTTTTTTCTCAAATCTATGGACAGTTATCCTAATAGGTAAATTCTTAGGTAATAGGCTTTATAAATACATATGGTTGATGTATTTGAACTGGCCTCCAAAGACTGAGATTCTTGAAATATAAGTACAATTATATCTGTGGGTATAGATCATTGCTGATGATATGTCCATTAGTAACACTTAACAATAACTCCATAGAGATAAAAGTAGTTTCATAGCATTTATAGCACATGGTCATTTGAAACTCTTGTTAGTATTAGGTGAACTGATTTATCTCTGGAAATATCATCCTACTTGGTGGCTTGTAAAGTTTTATGTCAAAGTTTAAAAACTTAAGAATGTATAGAAAATTTGATAAACCTGCTTTGAGTTTTGTCTGTTTTCCAGGCATAATGCTGTACTTTTTTCTAAGTAAGATCAAATGAGATAATACATGCGAGCGTTCTTTGTAAATTGTCAGAAGCCATGCAGATGTTAAGTTGTTGAGATAGGTTACTAATTAATGCATGGACAGAAGCTTCTGTCTTTAAAATGTTAACTTTCTCCATATCATTTGGGAAATGAGTGCATTAAAAGTGCACCCCAAACACCTTATGATTTTTTAAAAAAAATACTGCTGTGGTTACCAAAAAGCTCTTTGTTACAGTTTTGAAGCTTTGTTTAAAAAATGCTGCCAAGGCAGTTTCTCGTAATTCAAGAAAAAGATCATTTTCCTTTTGTAGATCTTGTGAAATGTGTATCCCCTATTAAAGTTTTTCTTCATTTCTCCATTGATACGATAGTAGTTGATTTTAGTGAATATTTAAATTCTCAATTCTTTTGTAGACTCTTATTAACACACAGAGTAACAGATGTCATGCTTGAGGTTTTGATTGATTCTGCTAACTTTGGGAAAAATTCTTACTAAATCTTTTAAACTTGTTTCAAAGTGTAAAAGATGTGTACTTGTGTGCATTAGTATTAGGTACATGTGTATATCTCTTTTTTTGGAGGGATGCATGAGGAAATGACTACTCAAATCTAGAGGAGTACACTGAAGTATTTCTGTGTAAAAATAACACAAAAATTTAACACTCAGAGCCTAAGCTGTGGCTTTCTTAATAGCGTGTTCACAAATTTTGACCAAAATAAAATAAAATGTAGATAATTAGAAGTCCCTGTGTTTATGAGCATATCTTAAATTTTAGAAGTGACTGTTCTTTATGAAATAACCCCAATTAGTAATTAAATATAGAAACTTGCTTCTGTGAATAGTGAGAAAAACATTTAACTGTTTTGATAAAAATGAAACTGCTCAGGGTAATATTAACTTTTCCATCCCACAGACAGTGAATACTTAAAGCTTTTCTTGAAATACTGAAGTTAAGGTTATATTAATGCGCTTTTAAATTTTGTATCCTTAGTATCTTACTGCCGAAGGCTTTTGTATTTAATTACTATTCAAAGGGAGAAAAGGAAGAGATTAAAGTTTTAGGTCTCTAACCTTTGACAGAATTCCTTTATATCTATATTCAGAGCTCATTTCTTGAAACATGTTTGAATCTTCATATTAATCTGTGCTGGGAAATATTAATGATTTATGTTAACTTTTCCAGAACTTTTGTACATGGGCTTTTTTTGTAGACTCCTAAGTATTCTTAAGCAGCATAGCAAAATATTCTGATCACTTTAACTTTACCAGGTGTGTATTTTTGCTGCTTTGAGATTTTTTTAAAAAAGAGGTAATTTGTTAAAACTGCTTCAAATTTATTATAGGTAATTATTTGTTAAATAGTATATGCTTTTTTCTTTATGTGTTTGTGTATATATG